TAGCCTGTCCTAACTGACACCCAGCCCCAGAGAAAGACAAGGATAGAACTGTGCAGATGCCCAGTGATAGACTTATACACAAGGTATTATCAGAGTTCTTATTATCGGAGCATTTTATCCAACTGCAGGGGTCAGAGTAGGCTGCCCGGAGGATGAACAGGGCCAAGACTAGGGTAAAATGAGTGAGGGACTTGCCTTGGGCACAAAATTTAAGTGAATGCCAAGAAACAAAAAACAGAAAAAACCCAGAATAATACCTGCAATAAATACATGCAATATTTTCGAAAATCAAAATTAGTGCAAAAAAATCCATGATGAGCAAAATAGCAAATTGTTAATAAAGACAGGACCCATGCTTCACTTACCTCACACTAATCCCAGCCCTGGTTTCAATAAAACTTTATTTTCAAAACCGGGCAGCCAGCCTGCAGGCTGTAGTCTACCAATCTGACTTTTTAAAATATTGCATTAAAATATTGTTTATCTTGATTACTGAGCTTTTTGGTGCCCCTCAAATTTTGCTCCAAGGAGAGTGCTTCACTCTAGTCTCAGCCCCAAGAATTAAACAGCTGAGCTGAGTCTAAAAGCAGGAGTTAACGGGGTAAAAAGAGAAGGGAAGGACATTCCAGCAAGAGGAAGCAGCATGCACAAAGACACGGAGGGAAGAGGCTTTCACTCTAGTCTCAGCCCCAAGAATTAAACAGCTGAGCTGAGTCTAAAAGCAGGAGTTAACTGGGTAAAAAGAGAAGGGAAGGACATTCCAGCAAGAGGAAGCAGCATGCACAAAGACACGGAGGGAAGAGGCTGCCAGGGGTATGCACAGCACACTATAAGCTATTTGGTGCTTTGGAGAGAGACCAAGCAAGGTAGAGTTGTAAATGTGCAGCCTTTGTTAAGAGTTGCAAGTTTTCTCCCATACTCTGACATGGAGTGCCACGCAGGGTGTACAATCTATCAGGAGAGGGTCACTCTCCTGGAAAGTGTGAGTGAACCAAAATCAATTATAAGTTGTAAAAAAGTGGCCCTGTGAACTTGCTTTGACAGGTAACGAGCATTTGGGGAACAAATCCTCTTAGGATGTCTCTCTCTTCTCTTAAGGCAAATTCCAACCCATGTCAATAAGTACATGATCATAACAGGTATGATGGGAAAAAACCAGAAGGTGTGAGTGATTAATGGGGTAATAAAGTTACCTCATGGTTCAAAATGGCTTCTGGAGATCCAGCTATTGTATCCACATTCCAGCTCTCAGGAAGGGGTGGGGGGAGAAATGCACTCATTTCTTCTCTTTCAGGACAATTCTTAGGAACTGCACATACCGCCTCTATTTATATCCCATTGATGCAATCAATATGGCCACTGCTGTGGTTTGAATGTCCTCCCAAGCTCATGTTAGAACTTACCCCCCAATATGGTAGTAGAAAGTGGGTCCTTTAAGAGGTGATTGGATCATGAAGACTGTGTCCTCGTGAATGGATTGATCCATTCATGGAGTAATGGGTTGATGGTTTAATGGGTTGTCATGGGTGTAATCCTGATGGCTTTATAAGAAGAGCAAGTGAGAAGATTAGCTCTCTTACTTCTGCCATTCTTGTTGTGTGATACCCTAATAGCCATGGGACTCTGTAGAGAGTTCCCAGCCAGAAGACCCTCACCAGATGCGCCCCCTAAGCCATGCACTTCCCAGCATCCAAAACTGTAAGAAATAAATTTTATTTCTTTATAAATTACTCCATTGCTTATAACAGAATACTGAAACTGAAAACGAACTAAGCAATAGTAATAGGGCCCCACCTAATTTCTAGGAAGGATAGGATATATATTCTGCCCCTTTTCCTCTCCAAGGTAATATGTGGTCCGCTTAAAATGAGTTTTATTAAGGAAAAGTTTCATTAAGTTTTAATAAGAAAAAAAACGGAGAACCAGCAGTCTTTCTCACAATTATTTTATTCATCATTATCATGATTATTATTATTGTTACAATAAAAACAATAAGGGAGTCAGATGCCTAAGGCAGGAAGGCAGGACACCCAAAATATAGTCCCAATTCTCTCCTGAATTGTGTGACCCTGGACAAGACTCTGACCTTCTCTGGACTTGTTTTAAAACAATTGAAATTGAAACCCACTATGACTAAGGATCTCTGTGGATACTTCCAGCTCGTTTTCACCCCAGGGCTTCTGCATTCACTGTGGTCTCTTCACACTGCTCTCTGCTGCTTACCTTCTTTCATCAGGCCTCCACGCAAGTCACTTCCCCAACAAGGCTTTCCTTGATGCACCCCTGCATCTAATACATGCCCCCCCATTAATCACTCACAGCTGCCGGTTCTTCCCATCAGAGTGGGTGACTGTGTGCCCACCGTGCTTGCTTGTTAGGCTGCTGTCGCGTGACCATGAGCTCCATGAGGGCAGGGGCCATGTCCGCCTGTTTACCTCTTTATCCTCAGTGCCTCGTGAGGTGCCTGGTGCATAGCAGCAGCTCAGTAGATACCTGCTGGACGGAGGCATGGATGAACGAATGAAGTTCCAGTCCTATTTATTGAACACTTGTAGGTGCAAGTCCCACCACTAAGAGCACACACTTTAGATTAGAAGAAAAACAGGTGGAAAGTTAAATATTAAACACAGGGTGAGTTTAAAAGGAACATTCTCTATGGCTGAGAAACTTGAGAAGATTCTTCCTATGGCAGTTTTTCCACTGAAACCAAAACGCTTACCCACTTGCTTCTGGAAGTTCTGGGCAGGTACCCAATGACAGGGGCCGGTGGCCCAGGGGTCCTGGTCCACTTCCCAGCCTGGGCAAAATACCTCCACCCTCACAGCCATGGGTAACTGACAATTTGTACATCTAAACACAGCAGCAATGAACCTTAGATTTCCAGTCACCTCACCCACTCCCCAAAGCCGAATCCAAACAACTAGTGGCTGATTCCTTTGCACCATCCTAGCTGAAAGCTCCCCCCCACCCCCACCCCTGTGAGAGGCCTGGCTTCATCGTCCTCATAACAGTGACCATGCTGGGTCTTTCTAAGTACTCAGACCCTCAAAAGGCATCATTTCATATGAGCCTCCCAGTGATCCTCCGAGACCCCTCGGACCTGAGAGGTAAAGTGGCTCATCCCAGCTCCAAATCATTCCACTGCAAGGGAATGGCAGGGTCCCCAAAGTACAGGTTTATTACCCTGCCCTACTCCCCCCACCCCAATACTGCCTGATGGCGATGAATACAAGTCCCAGTAAGGGCCTCAGTGTCCCCCCTACTGGGCCCCTCCCCACATGCAGCCATGAGGGGCCCTCAGCTGAAGCACAGGGGCAGAGCCAGCCAGAGAACAATGGGGCCGGGGCAAGGGGGAGTCAGTGGGGTTCCCTGGCTGCCTTGTCATCACCATAAACCTCATTACCTTGTGGTCCCCTAGGCCGCCTCTCTCCTTACCCAAGGCATCAGCCGGCTTCGCTGCTGATTCCCACACGGCGTGAAAAGCTCTTAAACCCCCCGCTGTATTTTTAATGGGGGCAGTGACTAATTTAGCCCTACGCCACCAACCATCAAATCAAATCTTCTATTGGTACTTACTGAGGGCTCACCTGGGCTCCATGGGGTTCAGGATAAATCCAGAGCTGGAGAGGGCCCTGAGACGGTGATGTGGCGAGCTCCAGGACACGCGGGTCCCGCCACAGTCTCAGCACTGCCCAAAAGGCAGGCCTGGCTGTGGGCGCGTTGCAGCCCAACCTGGCCCCAGCCCCGGCTCATGACTGGGCATACTTTGGGGAACACTGACACCTACCCTGAGGTCCTCCGTCAAAATGGCTAAGTCTCTAGGGGACTGAAAAATCAGTGTTCACCACCTCCAGCATGGGCAAGGTGTGCTTTAGGGTTCACAGATGTAAAATGCCTTTTGAAAAACTGAAAGCCTCACCCATATGAGAATGTAACATGAGGTGGCAGAAAGAGGAACTCTTACAGGTCACCAGAAGCCTCTTGATGTGGGAATCTTCTGGAAGATGATGGGTGTAATTGCTCCAAATTCCACGCCTGTGATGTCATATTACATTATAATTAGGTACAATCTGTCTGCCTGCTTCATTTCTGCTCTGCAAAGGGTAATAACCAATTTCTTTGCCCCTTGTGAAAAGTTAGCAAGGAAGGGCTTCCCCGTGCAGATTCAAGCCTCTGATTAGCTAGTCAGCAAAGCACCAGCCTGACAGAGGCGTGGGAGGTGACGTGAAAGAGGGCTGAGAAACTAAGGCTGCCGGGGGCACCCTGGGACACTGCAGGGCCAGGTGCAGGTGAGGAAGCGAGGCACCTAGGGTGCAAAATGCAAGGAAATACTCATACTCAGGGTTTGCAAGTGCAGGTGGGCCCTGGGAGTGAGCACCTCCTGAGATCTCACACCCTAGGCACCTGCCTGCCTCACTCTAGTCCTGGCCCCGCGACTGGTCTCAGTGCTTCCACATCCCACTCATCTCTGGGATCAGGAACCTGCTGCTCCCACCCGGCTCTGCTCTGCAGCCCCCAACCGTGGACCTCATGAGGCTGAGGAGCTGCCCCTCACCCCTGCCACATCTATATGCTTCGGCCACAATAGGAACCCAAGTCCCACCTGCCGTCCTGGCGAGGTATGAGTTAGCCACTTGCTTGCCTGCATCCAGCAGATGGGAAACATCATGGATGAGTCAAGTCACCAACCTACTGCGTGGCCTTGGAAAAGCCACTCGTTACCCTTGGGCCTCAGTTTCCCCATCCATGAAGAAGATCAGAGTATTTCATCATTAGGAGTCCTTCTGCTTGGACTTCTGTGACCACTGCCAGCTCATCCAGTCTCAGTGCGTTAGGTTACTACACTTCATCTTTCCCAAAGGAAGCAGGGTCTACTGGGTGCAGGTCCCCATGGGCATGTGCAACTCGCATCGAAATTTGCATCGGGAGTGCACACCTCATAGGAGATGACAGCCCCCCACACAGTCCCAGGCTTGGGAGGAGAGAACCAGGCAGCCGGATGCTAATCGCATGGATTCCCTTTATTGAACTGTACTAGTTACTGCAGTCAGATTAAGTCACATTTAAAAGCAGACCATCCAGTTGCACTGAAACCGATTATATTCATTACATAGTTTTAATCACTGTCCGGTGAACTGGCAAATCCAATCAAAGCATTAGTCTTTAATTAAAAAATTAAAAGGAAATATTCAGACAATAGCCAAGCAATCACATCACGATGCACAATTACCTAGAATTGCAATTAAAAAGTAGTTAACCGAAGGGGGGAAAAGAAAATCAAGAAGGAAAAAAAAAAGAAGCAAAGAAAAAAAATCACACTAATCCATCTTTAAAAACTATCAATATAATACATGAAGGAACAAAGGACAATAGCCTTAAAAGCGGGTTTCTCTAACTCTAGAAATGTAGTCTGCGGTGGAAACTCTAAAAGCACACTAGCTGTAGCAGGACAATAAAAAATACTGAGCATGGAATACTTTTAATCTCTGCCATTAATATTCATTTCCAGCTGCTTATAATAGCAGCGCCTCATGGCCAAATCATTAGAGTTTTACATCTGGGTTGCAAATGACACTTTGATTGGATGTAATGTTCAAATGGCCCTCCCCACGGCGTCTCCGGCAAGCCTTCTGCGGAGAGGTGTCCTGTCGAGCGGTCCCTCACTGTGCGTGCTGGCTCATCGTGTGGTTCTGCAAAGGCGAAGAAAGGAGACACGCATGAGGGCAGAAGAATGGAGAGCATGCCCGTCCCCTCCCACTCAGTGCATTTACGCCAAGCGCCGCAGAAAAGCGCCTCGATTATTACCAAACAAAATGCAACAAGGAAAAAGTGCTCCTGGGACGCAGCTGCCAGGATGCCACATTGATTTGGAGCTTGGGGATCAGTTCCTGTTGCTGCCAACCTGGGCTCCCTATAAATTGTGTGTGTGTGTGTTTTAAAGACCATTCAGGTCTTACTACAGGGACTGGCTATGTGGAGGGAAAGGTAAAATGCCAGGGAGGTGGTAGGAATTCAAAACATCCCTGTTTACCTCTCCATCTTTTACTCTAATGATGAGGAGGAAGCTGTATCTCTGATCGCCTGCAGGCTGCCCCCATGTCCCCCTCTTGGTCTTCCCGGTAGCTGCTCTGAGCCTAGCAGAGGGAGACAGCAGATGTGCCGTGCAGCTCTCTGGCCAAGAAACACCCGAATGGGCACAGACGTGCTGAGGCAGTGGCGGCTGTGACGCCTGCGGCCGAGGCAGGGGACAGGTTACCCGGCAGGGAGGGTGTTGGAGGAGCCTCCACTGCTTGGCTCTGGGAGCCTGCTCATTTGGTCATGTGACAGTGCTTGGACCAGAAGAGAGGGACCTTGAGCAGTCTGGCCGACTCTGCCTGGAAAACTAGCGCCTAGGTGGGACCCTGTGGCCAAACGCTTCCCTCTCGCCACAGCCCACGGCATTTCCTCCCTCCTGCCAGCCAGAGCAGGCCAGCAGTGTTGATCTGTTTTCACAGGAGCCAGCATCTTGGGGCTAGGGGTGGGATTTGGTCTCTGAGAGCCCACAGTGCTTTTGTTTGTTTTCAGTGGTCCGTGTTCCAAATTCAGACCAAATTCATCAAAGCTTCAGGTGGTGCTCCACCTCATGACACCTGAAGAAAAGAAACAAAGTCCACCAGGGGCACAGTAGCCCTGTTTGGGGTGGCACAGGACCGCCAATCCCAGGGAGCCCTTCTTAGGGATGCTCCTGCATCTCCAGCCAGTGGCCCTGTGGCCCAGTGGCCCTGCAGCCAGGCCTGCAGCTCTGCCGCTGACCACTAGGGGTCAGAAGAGGCACCACGTCTCTCACCCGGGCTCCAGGTCTGGCTGTGAGGCAACCAGAGGCTGCCCATGGCTTTGCCTGGAGGCCTGGGGCCCAGGGCCAAGATGGTGCCACACCTGCTCCCCAGCACAAAGCCCCCGTGGCATCCCCTTCCCACTGGAGGCGCTGTTGCAGCCTCTGTAGTAATGTCGCTGACCCCTCTGGCAATCTCACAGCCAGGGGGAGGCAGCCCTGTCCTCACATGTCAGATGCTCCCCCGCCGACACCTGCAGCAGAGCACCAACTACTGCGAAACTCCTTCCATGGGCCCCTGGGTGCAGGCCACCCCAGGGCTTGTGAGAGGAGGCAGGTTTCCCAGGGCCCTGCACCCTGATGGGCACCCTAGTCCACAAATCATCCATGTTCTGCTCCAGGCCAGAGCACGAACTCTGCCAGCATGGCCTGGCACCTCGGTCGGGGGTGTCATGGACCCAGAGGCACAAGGCAGGTTGTCTGAGGCCACAGATGGGATTCGAGCGGTTGCCATGGGAACCCCAACCCTCCAGCCAAGGCACCTCCCCTGTACTTGTGCAGGGACAGCCAACCGGTCCTGGGGGGAGCAGAACCCCCCCATACACAAACCTCCTCCTCCTGCTCCAAGCCCCTGCTGAGTCGGTTCCCACCTCTTCTCTCCTCTCTCCCAACCTCTCATGGGCAAGACCGGCTTCCTCTGCTGAGCTGCATGCAGGGTGGTGTCACTTCCTTTCCTGGCCCTGCAGCAGCCAGCCCAGGTCTGGGCACACACTCTCCTGACTGGATTTCTGGCCACCAGTGCTCAACAGTGGCATGGCAGGTGCAGCTGCCCAGGAAGGACTTGGAGGTCTCACTTCCCCAGCCTGCCGACAGCCAGTCCGAGGCACCTGCTATCTGGGTGTGGTCGGGTCCAGCTTTACTCATGGGAGGTGGGGGAGGAGGAAGGGAAGGGATGTTAGGAAGGTAGACATGGACAGCTCTTTTCCTGTTCTCAAATTATGGCTCCTAAGGCCTGGCACAAAGTAGACACTTAGGAAATATTTGCAAGTGAATCCATGAAGCAATCCATGTAGCAGTGTATGGTAGGAAATATTTGCGAATGAATCCATGAAGGTAAGCCATGAAGTGGTGTATGGGTGGGAAGCTGATCTGTGGAAAGGAGAGAGGGCATTCCAAGTGGAAGGAACAGCACAGACAAAGGTGTAGAGGCTGGAATAAGCGTGGTGAATGCAGGGACCAGTGGGATAATCCCAGCACAGAGGTCACACGGAGGGCTGGTGAGAATGCAGGCTGTGGACAGCAGAGGTCCCGAGTGCCCATGAATGTGAACTTTGCTCCACGGGCAGCAGAAAACCAGAGATGATATTTAATCTCCACAAAATCCTTGAGGACCACCCACTACCAATATGGGGAAAGGGAGTGTCAGAGGATCTGGATGATGAGGCAGCCTCTTGCCAGGAAGCCAAGAACAGGGCCAGTGTGATATGCATGGTCCACATTGGCTCACCCGGGCTGCTGGCTTAGGAATCCCGGAGGCGTCTGGATGATGAGGCAGCCTCTTGCCAGGAAGCCAAGAACAGGGCCAGTGTGATATGCATGGGTCCACATTGGCTCACCCGGGCTGCTGGCTTAGGAATCCCGGAGGCGGAAACCTACATCTAGGAGCAGGGGTTAGGAAAACGCAGGAATAAATCCCACTTCTCGGGGAAAAAGCAACAGTGGGCTTCTCCTTCAGGAACAAGAGCAGGTGGTTCTTAAGTTATACTCAGAAAAGAACTTCATAAAGGGTTCTGAGCCAGAAGGGTAAAACTTCCTTCCCTGAAGTTTAGTTATAGGAACAAAAGCCCAGGACATCACAGCAGATGGAAATGTCAAAACTTGATGCCCCAAGGGGACCAGGCACCAGAATCCATTCGGCATTGCATTATTAAGTACCTGCTGGATGCTCTGCTCTGGGCTGGGCACAGTGAGGGGTACGGGAAGACTCCAGCTGGGCTCATCCCTCCAGAGTCCTCATGTGGGGGTGAGAGACACACAGACACCCAAACATTTGTGAGATTAATGGTGCAGATGGCAGCTCAGCTAAGGAAGAAGGTTCAAGACCACCCTATGGGGAGAGGGACTGCTAAGGAGCCCAGGTGTTTGGCTAAAGAGGCCATCAGCTACTCCACAGGCTGAAGGCAGTTTCTCGAAGGGTGGAGGGGATGGCAGGGACCCGTCACCAGGACTCACCAATCATCCAACACCTGTGTGCTGAGCAGCTCTGGCCAAGTCTCTGCCAATCGGTACAGTCCAATAACCCTAAAAGAACCCAGGCTCCTCCCCCTAGGCTGGGAGCTACGGTTCGGTTCGAGGGACGGGGGAGCTTCGTCAGCCTTCTTAAAGAGTTCTTCCACCCGGCATGGTTCTCACAAGGGCATTCTAGCTTAATGTCTATTTCTCTGTTTATGCCTGTGCTATATTTAGCCCCCTCGGAGAAGGAAGAAAATCGTTTTTTAAAGACGCTACCGACCCCACAGATGAGCACTTCCCAGCACCATAAAGGCCGGGGTGGAGGTGGGGGTGGGGAGGGAGCCAGGGAAGGACTGGAACGTGCCTGCCTGGAGGGGAGGTCTGGCATCCATGCAGGCCTCTCTGCCTGCCAGGGAGACACAGGTGTGGGGCAGGGAAGCAGGTGAGGAAAATAAAGCAGGAGAACAGGAGGGGGTGGGTGGCAATAGTTTGCGGCCTCGATCCATCCACTCGGCAGAGCTTGTGCGCACTCATGGATGGAGGTTTCTGGTACAGCCTGTTTCGGGAGCCTCTGCCTGGCACACGGGGCCATCTGCCCCAGGGACACCAAGTTAGTGATGGGTGAGTGGGTGGCTTAGGAGCAGGCACAGAAATCTGCATGCTGCCAGGGGCAGGGGCAGGAGCTGGGGTCCTGGTGAGACCCACAAAAGGAGCCATCTCTGTGGAAGTTGGCAGCAGAGCACCTGGACGCTGGCTGCCGGGCACACTCATGGCCTCTCTGGGGAAAGAAGGCCAGCATTCATTTTCACTGCCATTCACTCATTCATTCAACAGCAAAATGATTCTGACACCGAAGCCAATGGGGAATGTGTGCAGCAGAGGGAATGGGCCAAGAGGATGGAGCCTCATGGGTGACTGTCCTTCCCAAAGCACTGACACACTTGAACGGGCCACTGGAGGTCTAGTAGGGTACAAGTCTGGATTCAGCAGCCCCCAAGGGTGCCCTGGCTGAGCCCACCTGCACGCCCCATAGCACAGGCTGGGTCCTCCCTCGTCTGTAGCCCAGGATTGCTTCTCGGGTTCTTGGCCCCATTCTCTGTCCCTTGGTCTGGGACTCTGCTTGGTCTCCCTTTGACACCTGCCTGCCACAATGGCATGTGGGGAAGACTAGAGGTGCCTAAATATGCTTGCTGTTTGGTGGTATGAAGCAACAAGAGCCCTCTGCACAGCCCACGATGTGCACACAAGGACTGGAGATTACTCCGCCCTGTAGGTCACTCTCGATGTCATTATTACCTGCCCCTCTGGGCTCCAAGTCCTAGCACCTTGCCTTGGCTCTTAGCAAGTGCCCCACTGGTTCTAGCCACAGCCCTGGGTGACCACAGGGCAAGTAGTAACCCTTAGTGGGCTGAGAGGGGTTAACCTTGGGTTCCAATTCTGACTCTGCTACTTACTAGCCATGTGGCCTTGAGCGAGTTCCCTGACCTCTGGGTTTTGGGGGTGGTTAATAACCGGGCTCTCTTCCTAAGATGCCCTGAGGACTCAGGAGATAATGTATATATGTTTATTCCAGGCCTGGCAAAGAGTAAGTGCTCCATACATCTCCATAAATGGTGTCCATGATGGTCTTCCTGAGTAGACAGGTTG